AACAAGAAAAAAAATGATTTCAAATTCTGATTTAAAAGGCGCGAATACAATTGTTTGATTGCGAGATAAAACAGAAAAGAGTTAAAATAGATCAAACAGGTTTGCTGCTTTGCTTATATGCCTTCTTTAATAGTGAAATGTCAGATTCCAGATGCGCTTTTGTTATTTTCTCGCTGAAATATTAATTTTGGTTCTTCAATGTGCATACTTTTTTAATTTATTCCTGACAAAAATTTAAAAAAATATATATTAAGGGTTACCTATATGGAACACCTCGTTCAGGTAGGGAGAGTCATTGTAATATACAATAGTGCTCAAGAGAAATATTTTGACACGAACTTTATCGCTTAAAATCAATCAGTTCTAATTAACGATAGTGGATTTTATTTTTGTCATCTTCTGCATTTATTCTAATTCAAACGGAAATTTATAAGAAGTTCGTAATGTAAAAAGTCTTGACGAAAATTCTAAAAAATCATAGATGAGTTGTCGAAAGTAGTGCAAGAGCAGACCTTATTTTTAAACATTTTTGTGCTTACTTCTGCATGGAATTATGTAAAACTGCAAATCCAATATGGACGGAGATAACAGAAATGTAAATGAGGACAATAAAGTTCAGCTTTAAGTTTAGCAATATAAAATAGACATTCGAATCTTGATGGTTAAAACTGATGTGTTTTTTTCCATAAAAATGGAGAAAACAGACATTTTCAAAGATGATTATTTTATTATTCCAAGTGAGTTAATATATTTTGTTCGTAAGTATTAATAATACATAATATTTTTACAATAGATATTTTTTTTACATATTCGAAAGAATAAATTTTCTTTATGAGTCTAGGACAATGGAAGTAGATACATAGGTTTATATAACATTTTTGGTAGGCTTTTAACAAATGTTTAATGAATTTGTGTTTTCATCACCCTTAAAAGTATACATAAATGCATAAAATTTCAAAGTACTATAAGTTCTGAAAAGAATAGGATAGAATTCAAATTTTAAACGAACAGAAAAATCATACGAATATAATAAAATCTTAAGTATAAATTTTTAAATAATAAAATTGTACCTCATATTGTTCAATGTATTGGATGGTCGATCTTAAGGGGATATAGTACAATATATAGTTTGACATCTTATAAATTATTATAAAATTAATATAATTTTCAAAATTTAAAAAAAATTTAAAAAACGAATTTTTTAAGTTTTAAATTTTTGCAAGTACAATTCCTCAAAAATTATTTTGTTTATTAACATAAAATTTTTTACATACCTCTTTGTTGACTTCTTTAACAAATTATAGATGTTTAAATAAAACTCGTTTTAAATAATTTCTTAAGACAAATTGTAATTTTTTTTTTAGTTTTATACATTTTAAATATAACTAATTTTTAAAATAAATCAAGAAAAGGATGTATAACTTATAGTTGGAAAACTTAAGCACACTTTAAATCCTATATTATTCGAAATGCTTAAAAATAGCCCATTATTACGCACGCTTCAATTTGAATTTTTTTGAAATTTCAGTTATATTTTTAAACAATGAAGGGATATTCAGGAATATTTTTAAACAATGAAATATTTTTTCCGTATTTCTAATTAGTTAAATTCATGCGAGTGATGCTATGCTAATCTCAAAACTCAAAGTTCTATTTTCTTTTTCTTAGAAATTATAAGATAGTTTGAAATGCTTTGCGTTTACTCATGCCTTTTGTCAGCTTTTTCCCTTTGACACAGAATTTTTATTAAACATATTTATTATTTGAGTCGTAGGTCAAAATAAGTGAAAAGTATTACATTCAGTATTTTATAATTTATAGTTCCGAAATACTGCATGAAACAACAATGTCATTTTCTTCGCTAAGGGTAAAATCTTACAAACACGACTCCCTTCCAAATCATAACTTTTGAATTTTACACTTAATTAGATATAAGAGAAACAGTTATTAATAATTAAATTTTTTTTTAATTTGTAAAATAAATTATTAATAAATTTTTGAATTGGAATGGAGAAAAAAAATTTTAACTACTTTTTTTGAATTTTAGTTTTTAGTACAAATATAATTCCAATAATCTAATAACTTGTTTTAATAACGATTAGATTTTTTGTAATTAAATAATTATAAAATATATTTTTGCTTGTAATTAGTGTGTCAGAAAACATACACAAAACTGACATTTGTGTCTCCTCTGCGTCAAGGAGCTAAGGGTCATGAGACTCCTTAATAAAAATTAAAGTTTCTAATAGATAATCGAAATAATATTAAATGAATAAAACTTAATTATGTGAATAAAATAAAATAAAATAAATATATTAAATAATTTAGGATTTTCCACCAATACAATGCAATTTATATAAACAAATGAATAAGTTGCATTGAATTGAAAAGTACATTATACTATTTGTCATGGAGTAAGTATGCATCTAGATTATATTCTAATGAGAGAGGTATTTTCCTACATATACTTTCTCAAGAAAGTTTATGGTGTAAAATTGAAAGTCTTGGAGACAATATAATGAGAAACCACTTTCTTAAATTGTTTAGGAAAATGTTATTAAAAGCATTTCTTGTAAAAGTCACGAATTCTATGCAGGCAATAAGATGTTTCTATGAATTGTATTATTACACGGAGACAATTATGGAAACTTGTGGTGTATTTTTCTGAAAACTATATTAAATAGTATATAAAAATGTCACTGTAGGAAAAAGGTGGCTTATTACTTTATTGTTCCAAGCTCATCCTATAACGGAATAGTGTTTTGAAACGTTAAAACTTACTTGTCCATTTTGATAATTAAAATTCCCTTCTTTTTAAGCATTTTAATTAACTATATTTATAAATGAAAAAAAAATTCAAACAAATAAATATAATGTTAGATTTTTTGAAGTTCCTAAAAAGAGTTATAAAAGCACCTTACCCGAATCGACTTGAATTCTCTCTATCGATCAAGTAGTTAGTTTAGGCAATCAAGCTGATCCGGTTCCGACCTAATTCTAGAAAAAAGCTGATTTGAGTTCGTTCGAAATCACGTAATTGATAAGTAGTTTGATAGTGATTTAGTATTCCAGTTTCATTCAAAATTTCGTAAATTGTTTTTGTTATTTTGTGAAAAGAAATAATTTCATCAGACTAAGAAATCTGACAAATTAAAATGTATTTTTCTCAATATTTTTGATCAAATCAAAAAAACATTTTTTATTCTTTTTTTATGAAAGTTTTTTTGTTTGTAGTTAATCTCATTCATGTTGAAAATACTTAGCTCGTCATTGAAAATTGTACAGAAAAAATGGTTTAAATTTGTTATTTTTCATTCTAGAAATTGAAAAACCTCGTGCGCAAAGAAACATACCACCTAGAATTGTACAAATAAATGTTTGAAAATGCCATAAAAATTAGCAATTAAGCGATAATGAAATTAGTTTGAGTTTACTGAAGTAAAAGAATGACAGTTTATCACGAATAAAGCTAAGTCCTCTGGCTGTAATTTTACGTTATTCTGATTCAGAAATTAATTGTAGCTATCTGATTTTGAGATGAAGAATCATTTAGCGCTAAAAATTAATCTTTGTAGTAAGTCTTTTAGAGTTATGTATGCGAAATATTTTTAAAAATGTCGTGAGTTTAGTGCAATGAAACGTAAGTTGACCTCTTGAAAATGCTCCAATTCTGTGTGGTTATTTTAGACGAGTGGTCGGTCGACTTGTAAAGAGGTGATGGAGCTGTTTTTGACGATTTGGTGTCTGAGTGTAAATGTCAACTGAAGAGGTTATCAATTTACCAAGGTTTTCCAGTTAACAAATGTATCTTTAAATTTTACAATAAATTAAAGGCAGATATTATTTTAGGGATATGATAATAATGTTAAGCAGAAATAAAATCAACTAATATATTCTATAAAATTTACTTACATAATTAAATTCAATAGTCTTTAAGTATATATGGGTACTTGTATCAAAATTTAATACATTAAAAAGCAGTCTAATTCTGAATAGATTTTTTTTAATGAAAATCTGAACCAGTTAGTTTAGTTTATTAGATGCTGAGAGAGAACTTTTTTTTCCTTTTACATGAATATTTAAAAGAAAAAATGATATTTTACTATAGATTTCTTACCCTAAAACGTGCGACTCGTTTTTAATAAGGGAAAAAAAAAGCAAGGTCAATGTGATTTTTGCATGATGTTCTGTTTGCTTTTACTACGGGCACTTACTGTTTCTTTTAATATGACTCATACAATGAATATTAAGTATCAAACTTTTAGAATAATGTTCAACATATCGATTATCGATAAATAAGGTTTTTTTTCCATCAGATTTCTCATGAAAAATTATTATAACGAGTATATATATTTATACTGTGTAGAGACAGACCTTAAGACTTTAAATAGTTAATTGTTGGCGGATTATGGCATCTGATAGGGTCCGTTTGAGGAAGCTTACAGATACAACCTTGGTATGTAGTAGGCTGTAGTGCAATTGAAGAAGATAATCCTTATAAATCCTTAAATTTATGAAATGCATTTCTAAATTTTGCTTGTTTTTTTAAAACTTTCAGTTATGGTTTTTAAATATTTTCTCAGTAAATTTGTTTTATTATCAATTATGCTGAGAACGCAAGCCTATTAACTTTCTTGCTTTGATTGACCTTGATAATAATGCTTTAAAATTTAATAGCGTTGTTTGTTTAAATCACTACTAGTTCATGTGCAGTTACATATTTTATTTGATAATATAGTTCGTATATTTTTCCTTAATTTTTCGAATAGGAGCAGGATTTACAATAAAATAAACAAATATCTTGATATCGCAAAATCCGACAAAGGTGAACGAGAAGTAAATATGGCAACGGAAGGAAGTTGTCAAAAGGCTTTGGTTACTTTTTTAAAGTAAAATATGTCTCTTTATAGTTCTTGACTCAATTATTTCAATTGTTTAAGTTGATGTTTTAAATTCGCAATTATTTAAGTTGATGTTTTAAATTCTATTTTCTGTTACAGGGGGCTACAATCACGTGATGGAAAAAGCTATGATATGCTTTGGAATCTGGTTCATGATTGTTGGACTCACTATATCTTGTTTTAGCCTATATGCTTCATATTATTTCAGCTGGGCATGCTTAACCGAGTTCCTACCGGGAATGTTGGCGTTCATCATTGGAGTTCACATGCTTAATATATGCCGGAAATCTAATTCTAAACCGGAGAGTGAAATAACAGATAGCAACAGAGAATCTCCATTCTATTATGAATTAGAGCCAAGTCTGCCGCCAAGATCCCTACCACCAATACCAAGAGACATTGGTCGGGATTATGACCCTATTATTCAAGACAAAGTTTAAAACCTCAAACTGTGAACGTAATTTTAAATGTAAAGAATGCTTTAGTGGGAAACGCGTCTCATAAGTTTTACAAATATGCAAAAACGAACAACTTAGTTTTGAAACTTAGAGATATTTTTCTCTAATGTGAAGGGGACTAAAATCCTTAACATATCGTATGTATTTAAATAAATTTCGATATTATGGAAATTAGATTGGAGAATGGGGTGTTAAAATTGAGACAAATCCACGTTTTGAAATTGCCTAATATGAACACTTCTTTTAATTGGTATAAATATTTTTAATGGGAATATGTTTGGATGGGGTATTTTTAATACAAATAAACTCATATTTTATACGAAATATATAATGTGATATTAATATCTGATCAAAATTTTTAGCTTTGTGATAATTGTTTGTTTATTCATTTCTGTAAATGTGTATTTGTTGTCGTTTTGTGTCTCAATTCAAAATTATATACATGTTTGTAAATACTGCCAAATGAGAACCTCGATAATGAAACGAAATGCATTTTGTAATACAATAATTTATGAAACATTAATTTTATTTTAAAAAGTTCTAGTCATCAGCATTGACCAATTTGCTACTTTTATGCAGTGCCTTTTTATCTATTTTTGTATATTAAATGCATATGGGATCATTTTTATTTTGCATAAACATTTCTCGTTATTTCATAAAAAAGTATGAATTAAACATTTATTTACAATTGTATTTGTTTAAATTTGTCTATTTTTACCACACATGCATATAATATTAGTAAAATATTGATATAAGCTTAAAATAACATTAATAAAAAATAAATTAATAAAATAAATTAACAAAATGAATTAATAAAAATTAGATTAATTAAAATGTAACTATGTAATACTTTTAATTGTTTGATTGCTGAGCCGATTGCATGGAAACCAAAGGGAAAAAGTCAAGTATCGTTGGGAAATAAAGAATTTTATTAAATTTTCATTAGTTGCTTAAAAATGTTAGTTGTCAAACTCAAAATTTCCGATTAAAATATATTAATATATTTAGTGAAAACAAGCGTCATTGCTTCATCGAAAAAAGCGTAAAAAAAAAGAAAAAAAAAGAAATTATTAAATTACCAGGCTTTAACTTTTAAAAAAAATTACTCGAAAGAATACTTAAGTTTTGTCGGTTAATGAATTGAACATCCTTAAGATTTACTAAATTAAAATTCAATTTTACGCATCTTTGAATTAGTTGGCGACAGAACTTGCTTTGAATTAGTGTTATTCTTGGCAACGTGTAATACACGGGTTTCTTTCAGAGAATTTTTTTTTCGAGGCTTTTTATTAATTGTTCCTTACACTAAATACGAAGCAAATAAATATATAATGAAAATAAAGTAAAATAGTGACTGTCTTCCTATTCAAAATTAAAGAATTCAAACACTATAATCAAATCTTTGATTATCTTGATGTTTTGGGGGCTGATGATTTGATGTTGATGATTTATCTTGATAATTTTAGATGATTTCAAAGAAGACAATGCTTTATTATGCAGAAAATAAACCTCCTGTATGTTTGGGTGCAATGATTTGAATTTCATTTTTAATATTCGAAGTTACTCTCATCCATCATCTATAAAAGCACGATTTGTAACGGTTCAGTGATACAAGTTTACTATCAAATCGTAACATCAATGAATTAAATCACTGTGCCATTCTGACTGAAGTAATCTTCGTAATTTATGCTTGATTTACAATTGACAACAAAGAGTGACTCTTAATGTTTCCATTCTTATATGCTTGAAAGAAACATTCACAATTTCTTTTCTTTCTACTTCTTCAGTATTCAGTCCTGTTCAAAACTAATTTGTTTCCTATTAATTTTATAACATGTTATTAATTTTCATGATTGATCTAATTACTTAATAACTTCAGAAAATACAAATCATCTGAATTGCATTTTATTCATTTAATCTTTTTTGAAGTAGACTTCAACTGCCATAAGGAGCCGTTCAAATATTATATAATCATATTTTTTTTTGTTGCAATTTTGGACTCCCCCTTCCCTCCTTCTAGCAAAAATAACCACATGGCAAAAATTTTCAAATCCTTACATGTAAGAGAGTCGCAGCACCCTTGTTTTGTTACTTTAGTAATTAAGTAGGCCGGGATAGCCTGGTCGGTACGGCGCTAGAGTTCGTGGGTTCGATACCCCGCCGGCTGAAGACTTCCTGTGTAGTAAAGTGATTGTTGCACGTTAAATCTGTCGAGTCTCAAAAGTCCTCCATGTTCCCATAGCAGATCAATACCTCTGAGGGTACTGAATTGGAGAAGGATCGTNATACATATATTTTTGTTGCAATTTTGGACTCCCCTTTCTCCTTTTCTAGCAAAAAAATTCACATGGTAAAAATTTTCAAATCCTTACATGTAAGAGAGTCGCAACCTCCTTGTTTTGTTACTTTAGTAATCTAGTAGGCCGGGATAGCCTGGTGGGTAGGGCGCATGTCCGAGAGTTCGTGGGTTCGAGCCCCGCCGGCTGAAGACTCCCCGTGTAGTAAAGTGGCTGATGCACGTTAAATCTGTCGAGTCGCAGAAGTCCTCCAAGTTCCCATAACAAATCAATACCTCTGGGGGTACTGGATTGCAGATCAATCGTTCTCTGATTCAGGTCAAAATTACGATCTGTGGATGAATGAATGAGTCCTCCCTATTAACGGGTGTGACGTATGGTGTGGCAGAAGTCGAATTCTTGGTCACAGGCTCGGTTTCACCAAGCAGGCTTGCCCGTGTGGCAAATGGCATTAGAAGCAACAACAGTAATCTAGTTATCTAATTCAAATAAGTGTTGTAACTTTGCATAAATCAAAATTTACTTTTATATTAGTTTTAAAATATTTTACGTATAATACTCTCTACGAGCATTTTTTGTTTCCCTTTTGTGTTCAAAACTCTAGACCTCTGAAGCTCTTATGAAAATTTTTTCTCAATTTTTTCCTTCCCTCAAATACAATTTTTATTCCGAATTTAAAAATTTTTTCCACGTGTTTTTTGTTGCATTCACTTTTAACACTAGAAGGACTGGAATACCTATATTGCCCAAAAGCAGTCAAAATGAAAGAATAACGTATAAAGAAATTTGTTAAAAATAATTTTTAATATTTTTGATATTATTTTCAATTATACAACAAGTTATTAGTAAATATCAGCAACAAAAATAATTATGAAAGTCAAAAAATTCTAAGAAATTGTGTCATTATATACATCATTGTTTTTCTAATTGAAATTAAAAAGCTGTCAAAATGACTTCCTTGGGCAATCTAGTTTTAAGAAAATTTTGAGAACATTGGCTAATGCATACTCGACCTCACCCCTTGTGTACAAAAAAAGGCATATCAAACTCCCAACCCGTTGGAAGCTTAAGCCTAATATTTGAACGACCTTCGGCAATTTGTTGTAAACGTTTCGAAAACATATATTATCTCCAAACTTTGTTCTTTTTGCTAAAATGTTTGGTTTCGGAATTTTATGGAGATGAATCATTCACCATATTCTTCAGACAAATTTTTTTTGTTTTCTGACTGAAAAAGTAGCTAAATGAACATTGTTTAAGGCGTTGAAGATAAAAAGGACTTCTGAATTGAACATTCCAAACTGAGATTGTAAGAGTTGCTTCAATGAAACTTTTACGTATAAGCACGGATATAAGTTGAGACAAGTAAAGGTTATTTCCAGGCACATTAAATGGATACTTAATTTACATAATATTTTCAGCAGTTATTAAATTAGTCGTGGGAATTATTAGCCACACCTTGAATTTCGTTTCTCATGGTATCTTTCTATCAGTCCGTAAAATAGTTATTTCGGTATAAAAAAATTATGAGGTCAAGAGATTAATTAATCGAAAGTTAAATGTTGGAATAAATGTAATACATAAAAGAAAGAAGTTCCGTTTTAGTAAAATCTGTTTCTGCAGTGTTTTCACTCGTTTACATTTTAGGTTATTCTATAGTAGCTATGTTTCATTTCTGACATATATAGAATGAAAAAAAAATCTTTTTAAATTTGATTAATCTTTATCAAGGAAGGCGGGAAAGCATAAATAGGTTTCAATGTTGAATGGAAAATAAAGACCCTTTAGATAATCATTTTCCTAAAATTTTGTTTTTGTTTTTAATCCCACTTTCCACAGTAATGATGTTTGTAATGTTTTAGCTTTATCCTCGCTTAAATATTATAATTAGTGACCAGCTATGTGCTCGTAGTTTTGACTTTATTTTACTCAGCAAGAATTCGAGAAAAATATATAAAGAGTGTTTATTACGAAATACCTGTACAAAGGAAAAAAAAAACAATTCTGCAAAGATGCGTGAAATGCAATATTGACAAGATACACAAATAAGATATCTCAGAACTTGTGCGGACATTTACTCATAGTTATTTCTATTGTTTTAGTACAAGGTAGCTTTAATTAATTATTCAATTGTTAAAAATTACTCACTTGCTCACGTAAAATTATTTTTACAACACAAAAAAGTATTGACAATTTTTAAAGTATTTAATGCTTTCTTGTTTTTACCAGCTGTAAAGATGTCTAAGGGTTCCTTTGACTTTTGTTGCAGGCTTTCTGTTAGGTAAAATTTCAGTCACAGAAAAAATTAAGTTATGTAAGTATTTCTCTTGATTAATTAAATTAATCAAGAGAATAAACTGAAATTAATGATCCATTAATGATTAATTTCAGTGAAAGAAGTGAAGGAAAATTTATGGAAGTAAGTAATTTGGTTATTTTTAAATTGTTTTCGTTTATTATCGCAGTTATTACAAAAAATGACACTGTAAAAATTCAGACAATAAACTTATTTTAATCTTGAATTCATCTTTAAATGAAGCTATAGTTTTATTTTATGGAAGTAAATGATGACAAACATTTATATTTTAAGATGGAAACGTTAAACTTTCAACTCACTTCAAAGGAAAATATAAATTTTCAACTATATAATGTGATTTTTGTTATACAATTTCGAAAATAGAATGATGTATGATAATTTTGAAATAACAAATGAGTAGAGTAAAATGAGAGATGACTGGAGTAAATTGAGAGATGATTAGAGTAAGATAGATGACTTTTATAAAATATGTTTTATAAACTAACAAATTCAATTGAGATTTTGATAAAATTGGCTCATTTCTAAAAAAAGAAAAGTAGGATTACATTTAAAAGTAAAAATAAACACTAAAATATGATTAATGATATAAAATTTATAAGAAAACTTCTTATATAAGGAAAAGAAAAAAACTCATCAAAAGTTAAGCAACGATGATTTCCTTGTTAACAGCATTAGTTTCTTATCACCCCTCTATAGCACCTGGCAATGCATTTTATCCTGATTTACCCTCTGTGGTTTTTCTTGTTCTGTATTTCATCTTTTTTCTCTCTCTGTTACTGGGTTTTTTTTAATTATGTTTCTCACCTTCATTTTTGAATTTTTCTTTGGCAAGTTTTCGTTTTATGTTTCAAATCACTTTTGTTTCTTCACATTTACGTCTGGTAAGTCTTGAAAAAGGGCGCTTGTTTCTCAGCGCTTGAAACATGTCGACTTTTTTCCTATTTATATATTTTTGAAACCAATGAAGTTTTTAAGCGGGTTATACTCAAGCATTATTTCTTAATCAAATTTGAAAATTTTATTCATAAAAACCAGTTGTTCATGCAATATAATTTGGAGTAAGAGAGAGGAAAATAGGT